TGATTCAAATTCAGCTCGGAGGCCGTACCCTAACAAAAAATGTTTATAACGAACCATTCACAGAATAATATTTCTTTATAATTCAAATAAAAAGTAATTTATTTAAAATTTGGTGGAAATCATTAAATGATTTTTGCTTGCCATTCTGTAGCTCGTCTTTCGAAAAATTATATTCAATATTATAAAAACACCAGAACAAAGTTTAAAAATTAAAATATAAACACCACTAAATAACAATATTTTTTTAAAAACTAATGTAGAATATTTTCTGTCGACTCACTTTTTCATTTCGTGACGTCACCATATTGTCTAAGAACCGTAAGACCGTACAATTAATTCTGTTAAAGTGTTTGGATTTAATTCAGAGCCATACATAGTTATCTATATCATTGTCGGTCATGGCCTACTTTAAAAACATTCGATAAACTCGTGCTATTTATATAAAGACATCTCTGCACTAGGACACTTTCGACTTTCTAGAAACTCTGGAATATCTTCTTCTATGACTCAGTCGTCGCGCAATGATTTCTCTGGTAGCTTCTCGAAGGAGTGCGTTTGTCTCTGTCGTGTGATATCGAAACAGACGAAGCAATAGCTGTAACGGCAAAGGGAATCTAGAGTCGACTCAAGGTGCATCACGACAGTACACATTTGGAAAGAAAATTTAATTTTTTTGTATTTATTGCGACACTTCATGAGGCATACGAGATATTTTAAATTTTAATCATCATTTGTGTGGTTACTTGTGAAATCTGAACAGCAAAATATTTTTAAAGTACTTTTTAAATGATAAAGTTTCGTTTGAGTGACTTTGAAATGTTTTTATAGTTTTCATAAATAATCGAAGGAACAAAAAATAATACCAACCAATTTAGAGGAATTTGCACCCTTACCTACTTCGCTTAGATACCAAGGTTATATAATAAATTCCACTAAATACCGATTAGTTCCCATTGCGTCTGTTCCCTGTTCTCTTTTCGAAACCACCTTGACCCAAAAATTGGAATTTCAGTTGCCTAGAAAGCCAAATCCGGGACATGTTTTCTGGCACGGGGTCGTTCCTCAAACTTCATCCAAGGAATGTTTGATTTATGGATTCAATTTTAAGCCTGGTTACTTACTGCAAGGAAAGATTGATATTTATCAGACAAAATTCTTGATTTAAAGTGCAAGATGCGGTTATATACAGGGTGTCACAATATTAATTTTCAAGCGGATTATTACAAATTATCGAAGCTAAATTATGCAGATCAAGTCAATCTAAGAGACCTATTTAAAAATACCCTGTATTCTTCCGTATACTGGTTGAACCCGCTAAGTGCGTGAAAGTTTAAATTGAGAAAGTCAAATCTGAAAATTTTACTACTTTGATAGCTTAAAAAATCTGATGTGTCCAACACATGAGTTTCCTATCTAGTTATTATAGGCTTTTTCCGGTTATTTTGTACAACCTATTGCAGCATCTCTATAAATGTTTAGAGGATAAACTAAATATATACATTGTTCACATACATATACCTCGAAACATTTTTCTATAGATATTCATTGAAAAGGGACATACTGAAAAATTTAAATTTTCTACAATTTTTTCATTACGGTCCATTTTAGAAAAATCATGTATAAACAAAAATTATAGAGATCGATATCGCAAACAACTTTTAGTTCAACAATTTTCATAAAATTCAGAATTTTACACATTTTGTCAAATTTCTCGAATACGGACCATTTCAGGAAATTTTGACATACAGCAGAAATTATAGATAATAATATTAGAAGTAAATTTTATTTAAACAATTTTTTTCTGCAAACATAAATAACAGATATATTCGCCCCCAGATGTTCCGACTTTGTCCAAACGTCAGGCCGAAATAAAAGTTAAGTTTAAAATTTAATGTTTTTTCTTTATCCGTTTTTGAGTTTTCTTCAAATTTCAAAATTTACAATTTTCTTAAATTTCTCGAATACGGTCTAGTTTAGAAAAATTATGTATTGGTTAAAAATTATAGAAAATTATATTACAAACAACTTTTATTTGAAGAATTTTTATAAAAAAAATATTTTTTTACATTTTGTCAAATTTCTCGAATACGGACCATTTTAGGAAAATTTTGTATAGATCAAAAATTATAGATAATATAAGAAGTAACTTTTATTTGAAGAATTTTCTTCCCCACACGTAAATAACAGATATATTCCATAAAATATAAAAATGACCACCTATAAAGTACCCCCCAGATATTCCGACTCTGCTCAAAATCTAATCATTTCATTGGACGTTGGAACAAAGCTTAAGTTTAAAATTTGGTGTTTTTATGTGTATCGGTTCATGAGTTATGCGACACACAGACACACACACAGACACACACACACAGACACACACACACAGACACACACACAGATACACACACAGACATCATCGCGAAAATGGGCAAAACGGATTCAGGTGACCTCAAAACGTAAAAATCCGTCGAAAACTGTAGGTCGAAAAAATCATGATTCCTATACTTTCCTTATATCTGTATACAGATAGGATAGTAAAAATATTTGTTTGAGTTATGTTGCAAATAACTGCTTTAAGTTTAATGATGAAGTCCGTTGATTCAATATTTAAGTTTAATAGGCCAGATTAACTTGTAGTTCAATTGTTTTTCTCAAAAAATGTCAATTCGAAACAACACCCTCTTAATGGGTTTTTACTTGAACAATAAATTTATCAACGGTTCATATTCTACAGAAGATAAATCACAATTTGCAATAATATATGCCACATATTTCTGATTGATAATTATTATTACTGTAATAAGCTTATAGTTAATTGATGAAATCCTGATATAAATGATTAACAGAATAGGTAATCATTTTTAGATAAAAAAAATACTGTTTTCGTTTACTTTATAACATTTATCCGCAATTTGATACATATTGTTGGTAGATGTATGCAATGCTTGCCGAATGTCAAATTATTTACAGTATGAATAGCCCCCCAGCCAACTGCAAAACATGCCACGACGCTTTTGCCTGCTGTTTGTAGCTGGTTGCAGAGAGTGGGAGAGGGGGCAAGTTGTACTATGTCCCGGCGGTGGGAGCGGTCATGTGACCTCTGTTAATTTCGAAGTAAATTTGTATATCGATGGATTTTGCTTTTTATTGACCTCGACCACAATATGACAATGACAATACAATTTTTAATGAAATAATGTGTATACTATATGTAATTAAAAGTAAAAAATATTAACGGTGGCTCTACCAATATTATACCGCAATTACACTGATACATTTTCACTATTTCTATTGTTTATTGCGAAAAAAGGAGCATGTCAACTTGGACACATTGCTGGCTAACTTAAGAGAAATACAAATTAGTGAATTTGGCAGAACAAGTCTTTGGAAGTTGCTTAAGGAAATAGGTTTCAAATTTAAGGAAGAAGATAATAGAAAAGCTTTATATGAAAAAAATAATGTTGTTCACAAAAGAATACATTTTTTAAGAGAATACACTTGTTTAAAAGAGAATGGAGCTTCGTTTATAAATTTTGATGAAACCTGAATAGTTTCCAAAGGTGGGACTAAAAGAATATGGCTGAAAATATAAAATCAATAAAACATACTAATGGTGAGGGAAAGCGACACATAATCTTGCACGCAGGTGGAAAGAATGGATTTGTGGATGGTGCAGGATTAATATTTTCCTCTAAATCAAAATCAGAAGACTACCACGATAACATGAACTCGGATATGTTTATCAAATGGTTAAATGAAAAACTATTACCAAATTTAAGTGAACCGTCTGTTATAGTGTTAGATAATGCGAGCTATCACACAGAACTTTTAAACAAACTGCCAAGACAGAATTGGACTGTAGCCAAAATACAAGAATGGCTACGTAGATCAAGTCATACATAGTTATGGACATGATGTGTTACGGCTTCCACCGTACCATTGTCAGTTTAACCCCATTGAACACATGAACACATTTGGGGTATATGTAAAACGAATTATGACAATCACAGGGTACATCAACCCCAGAAATTTGGCAAAAAAGTGTTCAAAAATGTGATAAATTAATTGACGACTGGTGGACACGTGAAAACAGATAAACGAAATTAACCCTATAATTCTATCCCTTAATGATGACAGCGACGCTAGTGACACAAATTTTGAGAGTGATGCTGAAGATTTATAGGTATGTCAAAAGACATTTATAATAATCACTGGTAAATATAGAATTTTAAAAGTTTAGTTATTTTTAATCATCGTACTTACTTAATCGCAGGGTAAAACTGTGTATGTAAATTAAAATTTTTGTTCTGAATAAACTATTATTAAACAACAAAATCATGTAACTATCTCTTTTAAGCTTTCTGAGGCAAAATTAAATACCTTAAATTTATATTTATTTTGTTTCTATAAGAACCCCTTGCAATATACAAAATAACGCCACCCATGAGTAAATGTTTAAAATACAAATGACCAGTAAAATCTTTTATTTATTTCTTAATCCGATATAGGTGTAAATTCAGTGAATGGCCTATATCTAAGAGGTACTTACTATGCTTATTACATGCTACCCGATATACATAGTAAATACTTATATCTATATGTGTATAAAGTAATTACACTCATTACACTATGAAATTATGCACATTGGGAGGTACTTGCTATTTGCACGAAGGGTGGTGGTATATACTTAGGATAATTACTCTCATTACCTCCCGTCCAGAACTGGCCAATCACAACTACTATAATTAATTGGTTTTTAGCGAAAGACTATTCGGAAAAGAGAAATATATAAGAAAAAAGGATTTCTAATCCAGTGTCGATAATATTTTGGCAGAAATAGTTTTTAAGTCCACTTGAAGTAACTAGAGAACATATATTCGATAATATTTTTGCAGGAATAGGAGTTTTGTACTGCATGTACTTTAATTGAGTAGTTCTGGAAAATAATAGCATGTAATATCTAATAAAACTTTTTCTGAAACTTAAAAATTCTTTTCCAGACTCCAATGACACCTGGTCGTGATGTTTTCTGGCACGAAATCGTTCCACAAGCTTGCACTAGTTGTTATCCAGAATGGATGGAGGCGGAAGATCCGCTTTTCATGCTTTACACTAGTGGTTCTACAGGAAAACCCAAGGGAGTTCTGCACACTACCGGAGGATACATGGTTTACGCTGCTACTACCTTTAAATACGTGTTTGATTACAAACAGAATGACGTCTACTGGTGTACTGCCGATATAGGATGGATTACTGGACATACTTATGTCGTGTACGGACCTTTGGCAAATGCTGCTACTTCAGTTTTGGTAAGTTGCAAGGTTTTTCTTTCTTTAATTTATGCACAATCTGGTGTCCCGAGTTATACCAAAAATATAACTTTTTGAGTACACAGTCTTTGTATTGTAGAATGTCTTATTTTATTTACTCTGTTATGCTATCTCTGGACACTTATTGTAAAATTATTAGTTTTGTTAGATGACTGCTATTTTATACAAATCTGGCAAAATTTGAAAATGAAAATTAAAAAATAGACATCTTGATTTCAGTCTTTATTGAAATCTGTAGTGGCAATAAATTCAATCACCAAAAACGAAAAAATTATATCAACATGAAATTTTTAGCAAAAATAAACTGTATAAAAGGACAAAGCCTACTGATTTTGAAAAAAAAAAAATGAATTCAAATGGGCGGCTAAGAGGGGTTAAAATAAACAAAAATCCTCACTCGAAAACGAAAAATGATATCAAGCTCTATAAGGAAACAAAGCCTTCTGATTATGAAAAAAATCTGAATAAAAATGGGCGGTTAAGGGGGGTTGAAATTAAAACAAAATCTTAAATCAAAAATGAAAAGTAGTATCAACGTGAAATTTTTGGTAAACATCAAGCTCTATAAGAAGATGAAGCCTATTGATTCTAAAAAAAAATTGAATAAAATTGGGTGGTTAAGAAGAGTTGATATATTTAACAGTAAAAAAACAATTATATCAACTTGAAATTGTTGACGAGTGGTATTTTCTTCAAGCAACTCAGTTGAGTTGTGAAATAAAAGACGAATTATAAGATAAATTCAATCACGAGTGGAATTTTATTAGACTATTTCACAAACAAAGTGAAAGGTAAAAAATCCGAAAGGAAATTAGCAAAAAAGTTAAGAAGTTGATTAGAGAAATAGTTTAATAAACAAGAAGCATTGACATCGAACATACATATTTAAATAAACCAGTATTAACATAACGTACTTAAATATCTCTCAATTATAATTATAAATGGTACAGTTATTATATACAATGCTTTGAGCTTGACTATTTGAACACTCTCTTGTACTTGTAAAAGTGGTTATATCTTGATGGCTATTATTTGTCACATTTGCGATGACTTTCGTGATGCTGGTTACTAAGTTGGATGTAAGGTTTAAGCGAATTAGAGCTCAAATGTCCTGTGATTTTGATGGCTTCCTGTTCACCTACTCCTCTACATAAAAGTTCATTGACTGCAGTTGCTCGATTTGAGTGGTTGGTTATTTTTTGCTTTTTGACATCAAGCCCTATATTCTGAGCTGATGTTTGGGTCCATTTACTGATCGTATTAATCCTTATAGACATATTTTTGTACCAAGGAGTGCAGTTATCACCGGACTTCCAGTGTCCATTCACAGTAAGAAACAACCTATTAGATTTTACATTATTACCTTGTTTCGAAATTAACTTTTTATAAAGTCTCACGGGGCACATTGCTGGATTTTTCACATTTTTAATCAACCATTTGCTGTTCGCACATCGCTGACCACCTCCTTGGCAAGTTTTTGAAAATGTATTATATTCGATTCTACCGGTAGGCGCCCCCTTATTATCTAATTCTTCTTTAAAATATTCTAACATACAATTTGCAGCTTCACATCCTCTCCAAGCAAGCTCTACCGCTGCGATATGGAAAAATTTCTTTTGGAGTCCTGTGGGTGTATCTTCATCCCATTGTATACATATTGCTTGATGTTTTTCATAGGTCAACGGTACCGAACTGATTTTTCGTTTCTGTGCGTTACCTTGAAGCAACTTACGTCTTGTATCTCGTGCATTTCTTTCCGATTGAAAAATTATATCTTTGAATGGGTCCAAACTCCGTGAATATTATAATATTTTTCTTGCAATAATTTAGCACTCGTATTCAAGATCGTCTTTACGACACATTGCTTGTAATCAGAACCATCAATTTTTCTCATGTTGAAGCCCCAGTCCTTTAATATAAGAGCTAGTCTCTCAACAGGCGTTGCTTCTTCTAATACGTATTCTTATTCATCGCAAAAACTAGTAAATTGCTTCCAAAGGTACTCCTTCGATTTCTTTGTATTTTTCGGTACATTTTCATCAATTTTTCCATTGATTAATTCGATGGAATTTATCCCAAATCTGCTCATTTTTAAATGCGTGCACGGCAGAATTATTTATATTTGACGTTTAACTGTCACATAAACAATCTGAAAACACCGAACTTAACAGGCCAATCAGGATCAATAGTCAAGTTTGGTGTTATCGCACATACTTTGATTACTATACGGTGCAAGAGAAAGGTCCGATACGCCCAACATAGGGCGCGGCCATTTTGATTCCTATGCCACAGTTTATAGCTAAAGAATCAGATCGCTTACTCTGCGTCGGCACTTTTGATCTCAATGTTCCAGTTTATACACTGCGCAACTCGGATAATACAATATATGACAACCGCCTATAATAAAACAGCAGTCTTCTGCGTATCCTGAATTTGTATCCCTGAAGTGAATGTTATTTTGGAACTTTCAACTGGTCCGAGTGAGCTAACTGATTCTTTAGCAATAAACTGTGACTCCAAAAATAATATTCACTGACACTGATAGCAGCAAGCAAAATATCAGGTGCGTTTTAATCATCCGCTTCTGCTTCCGGAATTGTAGGTTTAGTCGTTTTAACCTGTCAGATTAAAACAATAAAACCGACAATTCTGAAGCAGAAGCGGATGATTAAAACGCACCTATTAAAAATATTGCGCCAAGATGTAGGCAACACGTGACAAGGGATCAAAATGGCGGAGTTTTTTATCTCCCTTTAAAAAGCACTCAGAAAACTGCGCAGTGCGACCATTCTCCGTATAGTAAAAGAAAATCAAAGTATGTGTGTTATCGATAATCCGAACTTGACTAGAACTCCTAATTGGTTCATTTTATAAGTGCGTGAAATAGTCATTACTATTTTATTACTCATCTTAAATCATTTCAGGGTTTGCAACACCGAGATTTTCAAATTAAACTAAAATATATTTTATTTCCATAATTCTGAGGAACCCGGTATGCAAGGTTGATATGATATTAAATATTTATGTCAACGATTATTATAACTACTTTTTTGGGTACTGGGCAATTACCCATTTACGGTGCAATGATTTTGGTTATTTTAATATTATTATTTAATTTTTTTTTTTAAATTTAGTTTACAATAAATAATGTTAGCAGTAGTAATTGCACCAAATTTTCATAAAATAAAATGGCAAATTCATTTAGTCATTAAAGTAAAATTGAAATAACAGGAAATGTAATTTACGCAAATGCGTTTAATTAATTACAGAGGCATTTTTTATGCACAGTCATTTTAGTGGGTAAATAGTATAAAATATTAGTTAAAAGAGCTAAGTGATATGAATATCGCCGCAATTGTTTCTGATTATTATTTATTTGCCATTGATATAAGATTATCTAAAAGAGGTTCATTATCAAAATATTAGTAGTAAAAAGAATAGCCCCAATTATGAAATATACTTAAATTCATTGTTACTTGATGGTGTCTTTACAAGATGAAACTAGTCCTATTAAATATTTTTATTTCAAAGCCACTTAAAGATATAAGACAAATATACAACATAGCTATCTCAGCTATTTCTTCCCTCATGTGTTAATATTGCTACATTCTAAATATGTTAATATTACTATATTCTAAACAGATATAATTAAAACAATAAAAATATTATTGAGAGGAACATTTAGAGTAGTGGCAAACGCACAACGCATACAAAACGAAGCACAACGCTAACAAAACGACGCACAGCGCTCATAAAACAACGCACGCAAAACAAGGCACGCAAAACAACCCATACAAAATAACCCTCACAAAATAACGTACGCAAAACAATGCACACAAAACAACGCACATAAAACAACGCACACAAAACAACGCACAAAAACAAAGCACACAAAACAACGAACACAAAACAACGTAAACAAAACAACGCATACAAAACAACGAACACAAAACAATGCGCACAAAACAATGCGCACAAAACAATGCACACAAAACAATGCACACAAAACAATGCACACAAAACAATGCATACAAAACAACGCACATAAAACAAGGCACACAAAACAACGCACACAAAACAACGCACACAAAACAACGCACAAAAACAACGCACATAAAACAACGCACGCAAAACAACGCACACAAAACAACGCATACAAAACAATGCACAAAAAACAACGCATGACGCACGCAAAACAACGCACGCAAAATAACGCACAACGCATACAAAACAACGTACAACGCACACAAAACAACGCACAACGCACACAAAACAATGCACAACGCACATTGCTCACAAAACAACGCACACAAAACAAAGCACAACTCAATAAAAACAACGCACACAAAACGACGCACGCAAAACAACGCACGCAAAACAAAGCACGCAAAATAACGCACAAAAAACAACCAGTGTCGTCAGAATATATTTTTGCTATGTACCAGATTTGTCTAAAAAATGTACCATATTTCATAAAAGTGTTCCAGATTATCAGACTTTTCGAATTCTGATGGTTTGGTTCATGGAAGAGCAAAACAAAATCGGAGATCTTACGTACATTTGCTAAAACTCTCTAATATATTTTACACGTCAAATGGTAATATACGTTGAAAAACGAAAATGTACTAGATTTTACTTCGAGTGTACTAGAGTACCAGATTCTCAGATAATGTACTAGATCTAGTACAATTGTACTAGACTGGCAACACTGATCTCTATCTAGCTCATTGTTTTTTCCAGTGTGTGCTTGTCTCTACCTATTGTGTCTCTCTCTACCAATCTTGAATCTGCCGTTACCAGCCCTGGCTCTGTTAACTTATGTTTATCCCTGCTTATCTCTGATTATGTATATTTTTTACTTTTTAAATAAAACTTTCTTTACCTTCTTCTATTTATTCCTTTTTTATTTTATCTTTTCAAAACATAAACACTGCTCGACATTAATCAATAATCCAACTTTTTTGAAATTCTATCCAATGTTCCATATTCCCATCTGACTTTTCTCAAAATCTCCAAGTGACAATTCCTCATTGTCCAATGATATTTTTCAAAAATCCACAACCCCGTACATTCTGATTTTCACTTTAAATTTGGATTTCTAGAAACTTTACCACCCCAGTATAATTCAATTTGGATTTTGATTTTGATGAGGTCAGGAATTTCTATAACAATATTTACTAATACAAAATCACGAATCAATTAAAATACATACGATACGGCTACGAATAAATAAAGTCAGACTTATCTGGCAGAAGAAGTTTTATTACATAAAAACCATAGAAACATAATAAAATCTAAACGAAAACTTTTATTAGGCAGATCAGATGTATTAAAATTTTCATTTAAACTACAAATAAGCATTGACGAATAAGGTATAAATACTACTACGTTCTGCAAATTAAATATAAGAGTCAAAACTAGGTCCTTTCATAATTTTTTAGTATAATTATGAATAATTAACCACTGAAAGTTGGATCTTATTATGATCTTATGGTGAATATGAATTTAATTGCTATACAATTTCATTCTGGGCACACTATTAGCATCTTGAAGTAGCGTGTAAACAAACTAAGCAAAATTTATTTTAGGAAAATTTGAGTATACGATAGGTCAATTAAAGCAAAGATTACTTAAGTCAACTATTTCGTAGGTGATTCGGATTTGAATTTTGAATTTTTTGTGTTCTGTCCAATTTTATTATTATATTAGCCTATTTTTATTTCCTTTTAGTACGAAGGTACACCATTTTACCCACACAACGACAGGTTTTGGACAGTGGTAGATAAATATAAAGTAAATCAATTCTACACAGCTCCCACAGCCATTAGATCTTTAATGAAATTTGATGATGAACTAGTAACAAAGTAAGTCAATATAACATATTAAGGAAACTAATACAAATTGTTAACAAAATTAATCGTTTAAAAATGAATAATGATTATATTTGGAATTAATCAATAAACAATAGATTTTACAGGGAATATATAGATTTGAATTTACGAACTCTATTTTGTTCCTGTTTTAGACACAACCTCTCGTCGTTAAAAGTATTAGGGTCAGTAGGAGAACCTATCAACCCAGAAGCATGGCACTGGTACTATAAACTCGTAGGAAAAGAAAGGTGTTCAATAGTTGACACTTTTTGGCAAACTGAGACTGGCGGACATGTACTTACTCCACTGCCTGGAGCTATTCCTATGAAACCTGGATCAGCGGTAAGTGTGTTTTTAATTCTTGAGAAATTTATTTGAGCAAGTTTTATATTTTGATCATAAATGTGAAATAACATTGGATTTTTTAACTGAATTTTTGGAAAAATAGTAAAAATAGTATTTTTTCAAGACAATAAAAATTTTCGTATCATTGACTTTTTGATTTATGAGATAGGTAGATAAGTGTAGACTCATAATTGGTGGGAATATTTTTCAAATTAATATTTTCTAAATTGTTTCAAATACGTCTGTACTTTTTGGCTTACCTCGTACATGATAAAATTTATTAAGTTTCAATTCAATTCTGAACGAAGCACCAGAAATAATTTTTCTGAAAAATCGATAGTAAAGCACATTTTGAATGTCACTTAATTTGAATAGGTTCATAATAAAAATAAGGGCAAATGTAATTTCAACCGGCATCAAGACAGGTTTTAAAAGGAGATGTGTAAATTGGACCGGAGATTTAAGGGTCCGTCCTTATCACATAAGTATTTTCGACCAAAAGTAAACATTTTGAGTTATAATTATTATTATATTATATGCTCGGTTTTAATATTATATTTTATAATGTCTTGTAGAATGTTTTATTTTTTTTTTTTTTATTTCAACTATTCAAATAGTATATTGTTTCACGAGTGACGAAAATAACATTTTTGATTTTCGACGAGTAAAACACTATACTTTTTCTACGAACTCTATTATGTCATGTAGGTACCTACTAAAATGAAAAAAAAAAAAATCAAACGTCAGCAAATGCTTTATTTTGTGTTAGGAATAACAAAAAATTAACCAACAATTAAATATTTCAGAAATATTATTTATTATTTAAATATTAATTTATTGTTATATTTGAACAATTGTTCAAAATTATGAGGGTATCACACTCAAGCTTTTTATTTATTGAGGTAGATGCCGACATATTTGTTCTACTGTTAAATGTCATTTCAGATGATGATGCGCCATAATCGGATGAACTAGTAGTTTCCTTATTTTGTACAGATTGTAAAATTTTGGTTTGTATTTGGTTTTTACTGTTCGTGGATTCATCAACATATCCTTCCGCAACACTACTAGATTTCCAACCACCGTGCTTTTTTAACAGAAGCAAGTCACCTCCTGCATCTACTAATAGCGTTGCGGATGTTCTGCGGAAACAGTGCCCAGTGTAATCTTGAGGATTCGGAAGCGTTTATTTTATTAATTCCAACAACCTGTCTGCTACATTTTCCATTCTGATAGTTAATAAAGAATCTTGAATTAATTTGATCCATGTTTGCGGGACGTAGGCTCATATATTTTTTAGAAATATCATAAAAGGGTCTATAAATATGAAAAGAACGCGGAATTTTTGTTTTTGTATTACGGATTTTAACTAACAGAATACTTCCAGTATCCTTTACATCGCTTATTGTTAAATCGTTTAGTTTGTGGCAACGACAAGCGCCAGATAATCCAAAAACTAATGCTACCTACAAATATTAGTGTTATGTATTAAGTATTTGTTAAAATAAAAATAATAATTCCGTTACCTTTGTTATTAAATATTTATAGTCAGGTGCATTCTTTAGGAAAGTCTTTATGTCTTCAGGCGAAAAATTTTTGGATTTTTGGCTTTTAAAACCATCAGATTGACTCTTCAAAAGCGAACGTAACTTTGGATATTTACTAATATCGACATCATTTTTAACAGAGAGTGTAGTTCTTAGCATCGAATAAATGGACCATAACGTCGACGGTTTAAAATTTGAACATATTTCTCCAAAGTATGCTAGTAGTACAGTTTCCGAAAATGATTTCACTTTATTATTTTCTCTTCAGTACAAAAATTTGATATAAATTTCTTCATATCTCTTTTTTGATTTGGCCGGTAATAAATCTGAAGAGGTTTCTTCAGCTTTAAAAATAATTTCTGGGGGAGTACAATCGCTTTCTGACTTAGACATCATGAAAATGTGTTAAATTTAGGACGAACTGAAACTGACAGTTCTCAAAAGTGATAAAACTTCAAATAAACAAATGAAAACCAGGAAACTAGATGTAGATTGGTTTAATTTGCACTATTTTTATACATTTTTATTTTATCTTTAATTCATTAAAGTTTAGGTAAAAACGCATATAGAATTTAATGAGCGTCTTTTTATTTCATTATTAATAATTATAAGCTGCCAAAATATTATACGAGGCGACTGATATATGAAAATATGTAACAACTTACTTTCGTCACTAGAGCGAAAGTAAACGTTATGGGATTTTTTCTCACTGGTGACGGAAATCAAGTTTTCGCTGAAAGTATCCTGTGGCGAAAGATGTATTTTTGTAAGAGTTCGTAGAAAAAAACTGTTTCGGCCTTCTCTGGCCTCGTCAGCGTTATTCGGTCTTCATTCGAACAGTAACGGACAGTTTTTTAACTGCCAGAAAATTCGTTCTTTCTGTCGAAATATTGAAAAACAAAAGGATTAAACTTTTTTATTGATTTTTGTAATAGCCAGAGAGTTCTCCTGAACAAAAAATTTAAAATAAATAAAAAAATGAAGTAAATAGATAATAAAATATTATAATAATAAAAAAAATACTAAAAATGCAAACCTACCTCATTGAGAACAAAATTATTTTTTTGAAAATAAATTTTGGCCATTATCAGGCTGTAATGTTTATTTAAAAAATATTTATCCAATTAAAACTGGACGTAAAAATTCTATAAAATGGAGGTAAACTAAAAATTATTTTTCTTGTAGGTTCTTAAATATTTTTAAAATACCTAAAACCGACTATTTTTTAGCTGATAGAAACATATTACCGTTATTCAATGATGTAGGTAGAAAATAGAATGGAAAATGTTGCTGCTCTTCCTTGATGTGCTCTTCTGGATTAAATATTTATAATGATTTTTTTCTGTACAAGATTGGAATTTTAAAAATTAAACAAAATTTCATAAATTTCATAAAACACCTTTTATTACTTTCAGGCTGTTCCATTTTTCGGGGTACAACCAGTTCTGTTAGACGAATCCGGAAAAGAGATAAAAGGTGAAGGTGAAGGTTATCTCGTATTCTCACGTCCATGGCCTAGTTTGATGAGGACCCTTTTTAATAATCACGATCGATACGAAACCACGTATTTCACGAAATTCCCTGGATATTATTGCACCGGAGATGGTATGTACTACTTATTTCAATTATGGGTTATTGGATATTCCAGGAATTGTATTTCAGTCAATTCTTTGCTGCACGATGAGCATGAATAGATCGAAATTATAATAGTTATAAAAAATATAGGGTGGTTTATAAAAAAAAAAAAATTTAAATAAGGCTTTGGAAAAATTCACGTATGTTGAAATGTACAATATTTTTATCCACAATAGATCTGAAAAGTTGAGAGGTGGGAGAGGCCACATGGCCCACAGTCCTAATTAAATCTAACGTACAATTTCTTTTTTTATTTTAATTTGGATTAAAGTCTCTAAAATTAATACAATTTACAAAACAATATCTTTGCTTTGAAAATTTTTAATTAAATAATTATTTATTTAGTAATTTGGGTGCTATGACCCCACTAAAACAATTTATTTAAATTTTTAATTTATTTCAATTTGGATTTAATTCAGTCTAAAATTAATACAATTTACAAAAAAATATCTTTTCTTTGAAAAATTTCAATAAAATAATTATTTATTTAGTAATTTAGGTGCTATGGCCCCACTGAAACAATTTATTTAAATTAACATATAATAAAAATAATTATGCAATAATAATTAATAGAAAATAGCAAATATGTTCAATTTTTAATTGATTCATACCGATTCATCCATCGTACTAGGAACATGGTAAACATGATGACCAATTGACGCTTGTCCGCAACTGTCACATTCAAATTTTGTGCTTTTATCGCGGGCGAAAAGTATTTCTTTAGATTTAAAATGAATGTTTACGAAATTGATGAGAAAGTACAAATTGTGAAATGGCATTTTCAAGGCAACACAATTCGACAAATAAGCGGTTTGTTTAAGGCGACATTTCAAAATAGGCCCACACCATCACTCTCAACAGTACATCGTATTGTTCAAAATTTTTAAATTCATGGCTGCGTTTCTCCCAATGAACATAAAAAGGCTCGAGTTAATAATAATCAGAATGAAAAAGAAGATAGGGATATTATGATTTGTGCAACTGTGGAAGAAAATCCGATATCTCAGAGAGAGGTTGTGGAAGTTGTAGGTTCCAGTGAAACCACAGTAAATAGAATTTTAAAAAAACATGGATATCGATCTTATAAAGTAAGAAAATGCCAAGAAATTTATGAAACTGACAATATCAGACGAATGGAATTTAGCGAGGCACTAATGGATAAAGTTAACAATGACAACAATTTTCTTTACAATGTTGTGTTCACCGATGAGTCGACTTTTCCATTACTTGCCAGGCATAATCCATTCCAAGTCCGATATTGGTCTCGAGAAAATTTACACAAATTTGTAACAGTTCGCACGCAGTTCCCGCAAAAGTTGAATATTTGGATGGGAACACTAGGTGAAAATGTAATCGGTCCTTTTTATATTGAGGGTAATTTAAATAGTGTTAAATATTTGGATTTACTCAGATACCATATTGTCCCTGAGATACAGCGATTGGCAGGAGCTCGATTTAACAATATTTGGTTTCAACAAGACGATATTCTGTGCATAATCGTGTGACGTGCAGCACTTTTTAAATGAAACATTTCCCAACAGATTATTATCAGGGAAAGTACAATTCTGTGGCCAGCTAGATCGCCGGATCTCGCACCTCGTGATTTTTTTTGTGGGGTTATTTAAAGTCTCAGATATACAAATTCAGGGAAGAAAAAGCTAACGACTTCGATAAGCTGAAAGTGAAAATTTCAGAAGCCGTTCAACTTATTAGTTCCAATATGTTGGCTGAAGTAAGGCGATCATTTTACGATCGCTTGGGGTACTGTATTGCCCAAGAAGGACGTCTATTTGAGTACCTATTACATTAAAAATAAATTCGTGTTCTTTTATTATTGATTGTAATTTATTATTGTTTAATGGATTCCATTTTATAATTTTTATTTTTTTGTAATTTTTTAATCTTAGTTTTGCATTTTTTTTAATCTTAGTTATGTAATTTTTTAAAGTTCGTTTTGTTTTTTTTTTAATGTTCAATGTTTGTTCTCTATTTTTTAATGTTTGTATTGAATTTTTTTCCATTTGAAAACAAAATCAAAATTGTTTTTTATAAATTTTAAACTGTTGCTTTTCTTACTATTGTGGAGGGTCTCAAAAAAAGAGAAAAAAAAGAAATGAAAAAAGAAAATGAAAATTAATAAAATAAAAAAAAAATAAAAAAAACGTCGGCGCCGAGATTCGATCCTACCTCTATCCACGTAGGTAGACTGTAAGTACAACACCTTACCCACTGCGCTACGTGAACAACTATTAAAGTTGTTCAAAATTTTGTCTATTATTACAAATTCTGGTTGATGGTTGCATTATTAAATTTCGCTATTTTCATGTCTGAATATGTTATGTTTGTTCTTTATCTTTTTTTTTTTTTTTTTTTTTTTTTACTTTATTGTTTTAAAATATAAAATTTTATAAACAAAGTCTAAGTTCTTATAGTACTAATAGGTATTTACACAATTTAAAATTAAAATAAGAATATAAAATTAGGTATTTACACAATTTAAAATTAAAATATAAAAATGTAATTAAAATAAAATAAAATTGGTAAATATTACAGTACACATAAAATTTTAGTTAAAATTATCATTATTAAATTCTTCAATAGAATAATAAGTTTTTTTTAGCATAATTTTTTTCACACTTCCATAGAATACTTTATAATTTGTAATTTTTCTTATTGCCAAGGGTAAATGATTAAACATTTTTCTTCCGTTGTATATAATAGAGTTCCTTATTAATGCGGATGATGGGATCGGTAGATAAAGGTAGTACGATTGCCTTGTATTGTATGTTGAAGTTATAATTATTTCTTCCTTAAACTTTTTATGAATAAGAGCTACCGTCTCTAATATAAACAGGCTGGCTACTGTTAAAATTTTATATTTATAAAATAAGGGTTTACAAGAAGATAATTATTAAGTTTACACATGTACCTCAGGGCCCGCTTTTGCATAATAAAGACTCTATTAAATAGCTCGTCAGAACATGCACCCCAGAAACAAATGCCATACCTCAAATGGGATTCTATCAGCGCAAAATATACGTTTCTTGCAGCCTGCAAACTTAAACTGTAGGTCTTCATTTATTTATAAAATATTCATTAATACTCAACTCTGTCGTCAAATGTATAAAGTTATTCCAAATATGTCACATGCGAAAGCTTTGGAATGACAGTAGCGGACAAGGGTAAATTGGTCATCAGTTTGACCGTGATCGTAGTATCGTGGATGGATTTGTATATATTCCAACGGTAACTTCGAAATAGTAAAGCAATTACATCCCAAAATCGTCCTTATTGCCATAGTCTATAGGAATAATATTTGTAATCTACCAAAGTACCCAGTTAGCACATAAACATCCTATCTATGTTAATTAGCTGCAATTCCGGGCTCTTTTAGCTCGCATGCAATGTACTTTTAATGTAATCCTAACATTCACGCAACCACCGCAATTGCAAGACATTTATAGCACATCTCATAGAGGTTACAAAGTGAAGTTCGGAGGACATCACATTAGCAATTATACAGTACTTTCCTCCGAAAGTTGTTCTGAAACGTTTTATAGATGATAAAAAGTTCTACAGCATTATATGGTGTGTCCGCGGATAGGCTTTACTATACTTACTTGTAAATATATTTGTTTAAAAAAAAACAAAGTAATTCTTCATATTTTCTTTTACTTCTTAAATAAATACGATTCACGTTGAGAAATTATGGAAAATAACCTTTTTATATAAAATAAGTAAATAAATAAATAAGTCCATCTGTTGGTACACTATATTGTTGTTTATATGTATAACGTAATACTGAGAGGTTAAAATTGAGGTTATAGTAAAATCTCAATGCGATATGGAAATTTCAAATAAAACCAAATATAAAATATTATAAATGAATGATTAAAATGTCCTTGAAATTAAGTATAGTCCACTCAATATAGAAAGTGTAAAGTGCGTGAGCAGGTACCTAAGCTGTGTCTTTATAAACTTATTCAGGAAGTGAACGTACTAAAAGTTCTGACGTCCAGGATGTGAGCCGGAGAAAGGGGTCCCACTTTTAGGTTTTTCGCTTATATTTTGAACACACTATGTGGCAGGAAAACATTTTCTTATACTTAGTGAAAGCTGATTAAATTATCTACAACAATACAGGTTCACTTTTTTTTAAGTACCAAACCGTTCTCAAGCTGCACACTTCGGAAAAAAGACTTTCACATTCATATCGTCTAAACTGAGCAATTAATTAAAAAAAGGGCATATTTATAAGATCAATAATTTCTTAATTTTACTCTCAACTTTCTATGGATTCACATTTTATTCTTTTTTGGCGAGAGTTCTGACAAGGGTTCTTTCTCCATATCATCCTCATCTTCAGTGGTGGGTAAATCTTGCTGGTCTTCATCGTCGTTCTCGTCAACAGGCACGCCATTGTGGCATTTCCCTTGGCAGTGAAGGCACGCCGCAGAACAGTTCAAAATTGCTTTTGGTCATCTACATTTGCCACTACCACAATCCTTGATGCAGCGGCAAAATAACGTTTTTATTAGGACCTTCGTTGCTGGTTGCACCCTCACTCTTGAGGGGGAAGATTATTCCCAAATACTGTCTGCACTTGGTGGCAGGTGCGCCGGAAATGCTGTTTAGCTGCGCTCTGAGCTGATGTCAGGCTTAATATTTTCCACTGACATCATGAACGAATGGAAGGGGTACTGGTTAAGGGAAGGCTGTCTTGCTAGTGCCTCATACCATTTAAGGAAGCACATCTTCCCAATATCTTCGACCTCGCCATGATAGGAGGAGGGTTTATAAAAGATTACTACGGCTTTCTTGATAATTTCTGATTTCAAGGACAATTTAAAAAGGCCTACTTTGCTTTTCCTAAAAGTTCCAGATGTTATCTCGCAGCCGGTAAATGAATATTAAGAACAGAATATGTTCAAATCCATGCTGCTCCACCTTTGGGAGGTCTGTGCCATTGT